GGCTGTGATTAGGTTACATGAAAATGAGTAAATAATCTGATTTATAAAAAGGTCATTTTAGGCTGAGAAAACGGACTTGTATAATAAAACTGTTTAGCCTTAATTTGCATCTCATTTTAATCTCTATTATGCTAATAGAAAAATGCATCAAATACATCAATACATTCTTATCAGATTGCTTCTTAAATTCTTGATCATTTTGTACATGGATGCATAATTGTTCCTGTAAACCACCTCACTAGTTGTTACATGGTATGTGATATGTCTTCCTGAAGATTAAACTCTTTCTTTGTACAGAACAGGGCATGTTATGTGGGATGTAATTATATATACTCGATTTATGCCAAGACAGGAGAAAAATTGTGGTTACCAGAAGGTAAAATAGTAAGTAAAACATAAGCTTCATGCTGGATATACAGAAAAGTTTATCGATACCTATGATTATTTTATTTTATAGATTAAATGCCAAATCACACATTGATTTGTCTGAAAATGTCCCATAGCTTTTCTGAAGTAAATTTCCAGAGTGTTAAACACTTGATTAAAATGAATGCTGATTCTTTAGCTCTATCACGTGGGGGCAACATCACACCTTCTAAGGTCATGACTTTACTGTAATGTAACAGCTTTTTTCTTTCTCTATTCCTATAAATGGAGAATGCTGCTGCCTGAAAGCTGTCTGGGAATTCAGCCAAAGAAAGAGAAGGTTGCAAAAACTCTGGGGACTTAAAAGAAAAGTGGTTGGCATTAGCTCTGTCCTCACTCTAAACTTAAATTAAAACAATAGACAGACATGTACAGTAATCTCTCTTTTAAGAAAAGAATACAATGCCTCCATAGTAATGTCAAGTGGAACAATTTGGTCCTGGCCCAAGTTATGCAGCTGTTCCACAGGAAAATAGCAAAAGGCTTCAGTCCAGAGCAGACAAATAAGGCATGACTGTTCCTAAACAGTCACTGGGGTCCTCACATTTAGAACAAGGAAAACAACATTAGCATACAGGAGGGCAGGTTAGGAGCGTGAGTCTCAGTGCATGTTGAACCAGGCCATCGGTTTATGATTTATACAAAAGACAGTGGTATTATTTTGCCTATAATCAGGATGCCTGATAAGTGTGAATAGGTCATTCTTTAGGAAATTATGTATCAGTCAAATACTTATTAAGAAACAATGAAGATTTGATCATGGATTAAAGTTACAAGATGAAAAGGAATCACATATCTGTTACCATTTCTGACTTTCACTGGCTCATTCAAGGTGGATCTGGCAAATGGGAAATATGGTAGAAATTAAGTGTTTTGATAGCCCATCAGAAGCTAAGCCACGGTGTTGCTTCTCAGTGGTTTCAAAATAACAAAATGGGGAATCAGGTGTAATAGCTGCAAAGTAATAGAGCAGAACATGGACAGTGATTATCAGAGTAAGACAGGAAATTTGAACCCGCCCAATGGATATATGTGATATCACATGCCTCATTTTCACTCCTATTCTTCAGGCTTTTTTGATCCTACCTTAAAATATAGACAATGGTTCTATTATTTTTTTAAAACTTTGGCTTGATATACAATTTTTTCTCATTCCTTCCCACTTTTCATGATTCATTTCTGAAATGGATGGTCTTTCCATTTTCTTTACTTCCCCACCACCTACTAATTCCCTGATTAATCCATTTGAATTTGCCTTCTGTTCTCTTTGCTCTAGTGAGATGGTTTTCTTTATGATCAGTAAGATTTCCTTCTGGGAAAATCCAATGATTTCTTTTAGGTCTTCCCTTGTTTTTTTGTCCTATCTGCCTCATCTGGCACTGTTTGAGACACAATAAAACTAAAGAGAGGCTAGGAATTACACTGTCTTGAAAGAGGTTAATGCTTTCATTTACGAGAAATGATACTTTGAAAATGCAGAAGAGTGGATTTTAAGATGATTAGGAAAAACACAAGAGAAACAGTGGTCTAGAGACAGGAAGGAATCAAAGAAGTTGGCTATTTTCTCTAATGTTAATGGCCTGGCAATCTACAAGGAAAGAAAATGATAAAAAAAAAAAAGGAAATTGCAAATGAATACACAAGAGAATCAGTTAATAGACATTTATTTGTAGACTGGCATACGGAATATAACAATGGGAACTATATGGATAAAGACAGACTATAAAGACCATTTTAACCCTTATGGAGCTTATAAGGTAACCGCCAGAAGATATTATACCTATTAGGGATTTTTTTAAATATGGTTATAACCTCCTACTAGAAATGGTCAGTTTGTTAGGAATTTGGCAAGTTCCCAGAAAGGGCACAGATAAAGAAAAAAGCCTGATCAAAGAGGGTGGCAACAGTAAAATATTTCTTGAGACTAGCCAGTCCTTCACCTTCAGGCTCCAGGGGTTCATCTTCAGTACTAGACATCATTGCAGGGATGCAATGAAAACTAGAAAACTTCTAGTTTTTCAAAAGTTACTTTGGCTAAGATAAGTGACAATTTAAACTCAGCAATTGAAATAGCAGAAAATAGCTGAAAGAATGTAAGTTTGGGGCAATGATTGAACTGACTATAAATCCCGAGTCATCTGTTTTAAACCTAGATGAATAAAGGAAATTTGGTGAACATTGTTGAGATTTAGTTTTCTTTTCCATCAAATAAAGAGTCTTTCTTATCTCCTTTATCTATTTCCAAAGTGATATTAGGATCCTTCTGACAAAGGTAATATTTTCTATTTCCTAAACTTCTGGAACATTTGTATTCTTTTTTTAAAAAGGTTTTATTTATTCATGAGAGACACACAGAGAGAGACAGAGACACAGGCAGGGAGAAGCAGGTTCCCTGCAGGAAGCCTGATGTGGGACTCTATCCCGGGATCCTGGAATCACAACCAGAGCCAGAGGCAGATGCTCAACCACTGAGCCCCCCAGGAGCCCCATAGTCTTGAATGAAATAAACAAATGAGAGAGCCCTGTACTCTTCATTCATCTGCAGTGCAGAAGAGTATTACATATCCAAGCTTATTTCTAGGTAGCTGATACAGAGACCCACGATAAAACACATCTATTCAACCACATTTGAGCTGAGAAAAATGATTACCTAGAAACCTAGTTACATAGATCTCACAAACTGATTATTCACATAAATTAAATGCTGTTTCTGCTGGTGGGAGTAGATATGGAACCAAACAGTAGATCATTGACAGGTAATTGGAGACTATTTGAGCAGGGACATATTTGATTCCAAGCATTCTAATATTATATTTCCCATCCTCATCTAATTGTATAGTTATACACATATTCCAAGTGTACACGTATGTTCTTTGGGCAGATTAATGAAGAAAAGGAAAAGCAAAACTCCTATGCCCTAATCCTGATCATGTTCCTTCATGTCCCATATGCTGACCTCTGAGATTATGAGGAGGAAGGAAAGCAAAAAAATAAAACAACAGAAGGAGAGAGAGAGAGAGAGAGAGAGAGAGAAGGAGAGGAAGGAAGGAAGGAAGGAAGGAAGGAAGGAAGGAAGGAAGGAAGGAAGGAGGAGATGACTATCATGGAAATAATAAGGGAAAGCAACAGGAATGGAGAGAGAAGGTAAAGTTAGAAAAGAAATTCTGTTGTTAGATACAGAGTCAGGACTAAAGAAATTAGGATTTAAGGGTGTCTAAAACTGACTAGAGTCTATTACACTTCCTTCTCTAGTTAAAAGTACTGAACTTGTAGCCAAAAGCTCTTGTTGCAGCTATGATACCCAAATGCACTGCCACATTCAGCATACTGCAGTTAGCAAATATTTTCTATAAACAATTTAAGCTTATCAGAAGGTAAGAACTAGGGAAGTGAATTGCCCAGCAAAATGTAGTAAAGCTACTATGAGCAAGTTTGTTCCTTTCAAGGTCTGAGAATGCCTTCAATGCTTCTTAAATGATAGAAGAAAAATAATGGATTAATTTACTGAATGTTCTTTAAATCAACATATTTGTATCTTTAGAAAATAATTACTGGAAGAGAGGAAAGTTTTAAAATACCAAAACTTTCATAAAGAAAGTGTGAATTCACTTAGTGTGTTAAAATTATAATATCATATAACTGGGGAAGTAGAAATTTCAGGTTTCTGCCTTAAAATTCTTTTAGAAAATTCCTCATGGGATAATAAGAAATCTACACTTAAATAACAAACGTTATTAGAAATAACTTTTTCGTAATTTAACTTGATTTATGCAGAAGCTATCCCATATAGTTATTTATGGAAGACAATTAAATTCATCCTACTAATATTTAAACAAAATGCAAATCAATTGGAAGCTTTTAAAAAATTCAAATTATTTTCAGCTCAACCTAGACTGTTACTATATTAGAAAGATCAAATGGCTGTCAAATAGTCTTTGAGTAATCGCATTTGGGTAATCCACTCTTGAATTTTGCATAAAATTAGATTTTCCATGAGTTTGTTGTTTATATACATGAAGGTCAGAAAGTAAAATTTTAAAGTTGAAGTGACATTAGAACCTATATATTCTAATAATGAAATTACTTTACAATCGAATATATTGAAGCATCTCACATTCACAAATTATGTCTTATGGGGGATCCGTTTGAAATGTAGATTACGAAAATGATTTCCCATTTAGTCTTAAAACTTGGGGATATTTTGAGGATGCTTCAAAATTTTCAAACATTTTCATGGGCGGAGTAAGTTCAGCAATGTGTAACATCTATCAATCTTATGATGTAAACACTGACTGATTCAGCCCACTTTCCTTTCAGGTTGAATATCTTACTAGAGATAAAAGGGGGAAAAAAATCACAGCTGGAAACCTTCCCAGAAACTTCACGGAGATGACAAAGTAAAAGACCAATCTTCCACAGATACTTAATGAAGACATGGTTCAGGGGATTTCTTTCTAGAGATCATTTTGCCCACCAAGAAAAGACAAAAGCAGTGGATTTCTGAAGCTAAAGCCTAAAATCAAAACAGTATGAGAGAAAAAGTGAAACAGTTTAGTGCTCATTAAATCACTTACAGTGGTTTTCCTTTGGATTCACAAGTCAAAATTAATGGCTGTCCTTCTTGTGGAAAAGGAGTTGATGGTATAATCTTGACTGATGGTGTATCTAGAAAAAAACAAATGAAAAGGGATATTAAGAAAGTTCCCTAAATACACATAAAACATATATTTAATAATTGTATATCATGGTGTATGTTCAGGCTTTTTCTTAGTATTTTGCACATTTTCAAGGGATTTCTTAAATTTGGTGAAACTGAATACACAATTATAAGAAGATACCACCCTATCTATGAAAAGCTAACAAAAATATATCTGAATATCTTATGAGCACCACTGTTGTATTGTTTCTGAAATCTGAATAGAAAAGTGAAATTGCAAAAAGTGGTTCAGATGAATATCAAGCATTTCATACAATTGTTTCTTCAACTATTTATAGATGGCTATGAATACTATTATGGACTGAATGCATTTATGTACATTTGAATAACAACACTATTTCTGTCGCAGGAATACCAGGACTCACAATAAAGAACTCTTAAAGAACTCAGGATCAACTATGGTTTCATAAGCATTATGAAGAATCTTTTTGAAAATGCAATAATGCAGGACTTAGCACATGTTGCTTGCTTGTTAGCAAATGTTTAAATATTTAAAATATTGCTAAAAGTTAACTTCTTGTTATATATGCTGCAATATAATTGTTATAATTGTTATTATTTTTTATTTTGTTATTTATTATTTTTTATTTTGTTATAATTCCCATTTAACGATAAAATCATCCTTGGTGAAAGAGATTTCAAAAATACTTGAAGATATTTATAACTTCCATGCCATATAATACAGTCTAATCAACAAAAACACCTATTTCATAGAAGAAATGGAAAATAAACTAAAAAAAAAAAAAAGACAGTGTAAACATGCTCATTGCTTTATGAGACTTTGCTGGTCCTGGCATTGCGTGGCCACACAACATGGAATTCCAGTCCATGTGGAATCGCCTCCTGCTCTTACCTGTGCATACTCAATAATAAACAAAATAGGCTCTAAATGCTCCAGATCTTCACAATCATTTCCACCCTTCCCCTAGCTGTGATAGAACTAAACCATTCTGCAGTTATACCCACTCTCTGATTTTGGACCAATTAAACAAGCTTCTATCAACAATGTAATTTTCAGGTTACTTTTGGGTTACTTCAGGAAAATATTCAGATTTGTCATATATCCACAGTAAACCATGATCGTGTGGAACCTTATATCATACTTATAAGGTTTTATTTTTTAAAAATATTTTATTTATTTATTTATTTATTTATTTATTTATTTATTTATTCATGAGAGACAGAGAGAGAGAGAGAGAGAGAGAGAGAGAGAGAGAGGCAGAGATACAGGCAGAGGGAGAAGCAGTCTCCATGCAGGGAGCTCGACCTGGGACTTGATCCCGGGTCTCTAGGATCACACCCTGGGCTGAAGGCAGGTGCTAAACCGCTGAGCCACCCATGCTGCCCAATTTATAGGTTTTAAATACATTATTTTTCAATCCTTTGAGCAAGAAAACACATTCTTGATAACCAACAATAATATCCTGGTTGCAAATAGACATTTACCATTAAATAATTTCCTTGTGAAATAACCCAAGGAAAAAAATAAAGAAATATGACACAATTCATCATACTTTTTTAATTAGTAGGAAAAAATAATTTAATAAAGGATTAAATTTTACTTCAGTAATTTCTTGATTATCACCATAACATTTATGGAATCAGTTATTGACTAGGATGATTGTATAATTTTTTCTTCAAATTATAACATTTCAAAAAGTGAAGATGAAATGTCAACAATTATGCAAGATAACAAGTGTGAGCCAGAATATTCTGGAAGATGAGGTCTATTGTCTTTTGAACTTTGACCATATATGTATATAGCCAAATGTAATTTCATCCTTACAAACAAAAAGCAAGTTTCAGTTCCAGAGGAAAAAAGTTGGAGAAAAAAGATCAGAAACTGTGATTTCAGGAAAGAGAGTTGTGTCTAATTTGGGTGTCTGCGATGGTTAATTTTATGTGTCAACTTGACTATACCTTGGGGGTGACCAGACACTTGCCTAAACACCATTCTGCATATTTCAGTGGGAGTATTTTTGTAAGAGATCAATATTTTTTAAAGACTTTATTGATTGATTGATTTAGAGAGTGCAAGCAGGAGGAGAAGCAGAGGGAGAGAATCTTAAGCAGGCTCCACATCCAGCATTGAGCCTAATGCGAGGCCTAATCTCATGACCCTGAGATCATGACCTGAGCTGAAATCAAGAAATGGACATTTAACCCACTCCACTACCCAGGTGCCAGTGTAAGAGATCAATGTTTAAATCAGTAGACTGAGTGAAACAGATTGTTATCCCTGATGTGGGTGAGCCTTGTCAGATGAGTTGAAGGCCTGGATAAAAAACAAAACAAAACAAAAAAACAAACGATCCTTCCCCATATAGGGGAGAGTTCTCCTGTCTGATGGCCTTCATGCTAGAAGATCAGTTTTTTGTTGTTGTTGTTGTTTCCTGTTTTGAACTCAAACTGGAACTAAATCATCAGCTCTTCTCGATCTCTAGCTTAGCAACTCAGCTTGCAGGTCTTGGGATTTATAGCCTCCATACCTGTGTGAGCCAATTCCTTATAATAAATCTCTCTTTCTATGTATACATTTTATTAGTTTTGTTTCTTGGGAGAACCCTGACAAATACAGAAACCTAACAAACAGACCCTGAGACATGTGTTTAATAGGTGTGATATTAGGAAGGATTGAAAAGTGAGTCAGGAAAAGAAGGAAGTAAATAAAGAATGTTCTATCGAGCAGATTACACAGTGAGCAACTGGGATTCAATTCTGCTATGGAACTCTGAAATATAATGTGGGGCATGCCTCAGAGCTATGTTATTTGATGAGCAAGGGACAGGAGTATGTAGGGAATATTTACCAATTTTCATTAGTGTTTGATTGAGGATTACTCTGGAGGGAGGGGAAATACTATTTCCCTGGCACGCTGAGTCTACTCAGTGCACAGAAATGGTGTATTCCAAAGGGATATGGGCAAGTCAGCCCTAGTATCTGCTTCAGTAAAGTGAAATATGTACAGTGGCAGGTAGCTGTTAGAACAGAGGAAAACAGAATATGGCCCAATTTCTCTTAGCTCTGCTGGGTTCTATTTAAGCAATTTATTACAGGTGAGAATTCATATAATAAATTGTCTCCTGAAGCATGATTCAGGATTTCTTTTATATCCAAAACACAGAATTTTAATTATAAGAAAATGCTAAAGCAGATAATACATTATACATGTATTTCTATGGAACTTTTGGGGAGATCGCCAAATAACCTCTAGAGTAACCAAAATCAAGGGATATAATACAATGCTCTTATTTTACTTGGGAATTACTCAAAATGTTGTTCAGTTTCTATACCTATGAAGTATGTTTGCTAGGTTTAACCACCCTTCTCAGTGTTTTCCCTACTATCCACATGTTTCTGAGTCAACTTATATCTCTGGCTACTCTTTCTCAGGTTCTGTTGAATTGTCCTTTTGCATTTAGTCTGTAAATACTGAAATCACCAAGAGTGGAATTCATGATCTGTTCTCACCTTAATTCTGGCTGGGTCCTTTAAGCCACACCCATCTCTTCAGTTTCTACTTACTAACTAATCATTCTTAGGTTTATATCCTAGGGGCAGCTCTGTACCACAAGCTACATTTACATATACGCAGCACCCATCTGACATGTCTCCTCGCATGTCTAAAAGACAAGGTGCCTTCACTATGTCCAAAGTGAACTCAAGCCCTCCAATCCTTCCCTCCATGTTCTTCATCCAGCCATCTGTAGTCCTATAGATACTACCAGCCTCCATCCACCCTCATACACCAGACATCTCCTGTTTCCTTGTACTTCTCTCATCAATCAATCAAGTCTGGTTGATCTCCATCCTGAATAGTTTTCAAATCTACTCATTTCTTACTTATAGCTCCACAATTACTTCTTTTATCTCATTTACTGCAATAGTGAGTGCCCTCTTTCTCATGTCAGTTTTTGCTCCCCTAAAATTTGACTCTTAGAACTAAACAAAGTTGTCTTCTCAAAGCATAAATCTGATAGGGGCACCTGGGTGGCTCAGTCAGTTGAGCATCTAACTCTTGATTTCACCTCAAGTCACTATTCCACAGTCGTAAGATGGAGCCCAGGTTGAGTTCATACTGCATGTGAAGCCTGCTTGGAATTCCTTCCCCCTCTCTCTGCCCTTCCCATGCTCATGCTGTCTCTTTCTACAATAAATAAATAAAATCTTAAAACACACACACATACACTAACACATAAAACTGAGAAATCAATGTTCTGGTTAAAACTCTGAATGGTTAATCTTTGCTTTTAAGACTAAAAGCAAAATCATTGCTGTTGCCTATAGGTCTCATGTGATCTTTACACTTCTTTACTCTCTTGCATTTTTCTTTTTAAAAGATTTTAGTTGTTTATTTGAAAGATAGAGCAAGCATGAGCAAGGGGAGGGGAAAAAGCAGACTCCCCACTGAGCAGGGAGCCCAAGGTATATCTCCATCCCAGGACCCCAGGATCATGGCCTGAGCCAAAGGCAGACACTTAACCAACTGAGCCGTCCAGTGGCTTCTGTTTGCCACCCTGTTGTGTGAGGTGGAGAGAGTCATAGCTGAGGGTGTAGGAGGCCTAGACATGGCCCAGGCCAGTGTTTGTGGCTCTGGCTGCACTTTAGAAACACTTGTGTGTGTTTCACGACTAGCAATGCTCAGGCTTGTCCCCAGAGCCTCTGGGTCAGCTGGGGAGGAGGGTGTGGTGGGATGCCCCCTCCTTGACCACAAAGCCAAGGCGAAGACCCCTCTTCTACAGAAAATGGTATTGTGCAACAGATCATAAAGCATCCAGGCAAAAATGGAGGGGAAGAGCGAGAGAAAGACACATGGCAAGCACCAATTAATATGAATATCATGTTAATTTCCTAGATTTTGTGATATCCAGGATATTTGAGGCTTTTTGAAATTTGTAGCTTGTGATTTTATTTTCTCACTCCACATATTCACTTTCGTACCTAATTA